CTTTACAAAAAAGTCCATGATTTGCTCCAGTGCGCGATACTGCTAGGTTACCCAGGCCAAAGACGTGAATTTTATTAGACAGTTAACAACCGGATCCTTCTGCTAGCCAAAGCCTGATCGGCAAGGCAGCAAAGCGGTGTGTAAAAACCGCAATCCATTTGGGGCCCGACGTCCAGCTATTTATCCGATTATCCACCCTTTAGACGGAGTCAGAAGTCCAAGGTGCCCAAGCGAGCCGGTAATCACGACCACAACCGGGAAGGTGTGTGCGTGGTTCGTACATTTCTTGGTTGGTTCGGAAACAGGGTTTTTGTCCAACGCCACTAGGTGAACAGCCAATGGTTCACCGCCACGCGAAGGAAGTGAGTAGGGCTTCCTCAGCAGAGGCTAATTTAGACGCTTGGTCGTATGGAAGCATTTCGTGAATGCAAGGGTAGTGTGATCAGTCGCAACCCTAAACACCCACCTCCGACCATACTGAGGCTTTCGGAGGCTCATAGTGAGATACAGTGAAGCGAATTTCTCTGACTGCTGCCAAGCTCACAATGCACACATTGTTAAAGTACAAGATAGGGAGGGATTGCGTCAGATTAATGGACAGAAAAGAAAGTGAACCTCTATGTTCAACACAGAACGCGCAATCTAAATGTGTATACCTTTTCAAGCAATCTGACTTGATAAGGAATGACAAGAACATCACTGCTGCCGGTTAGTTGTCATATTCTTCAGGGTCTCCAATCAACCAGTTGCAGGGCCTTTTGAACCCCAACCTGGAAGGCGGGAGACACCTACTCTACCTAATTGCTTTGCGCATTTCTTCAGGTCTCGTTCCCATGTCATCTGTTGATCCATGTAGTTTCTTGCAACCCAGAGCCGCAATTGCAATTAAGGCATGGTAACTTGGCATGCGCAGTACATGTCTTAACCAGCGAAGCCGATCAATGTGGATTCGATGTGACAACGTAGTCTCTAATGAATCATTACCAAATACGCGACGGCTTACCGCAGTCGTTTACACAGTCGCTCTATCCAACCCGACTGGAACTACATAAACATCAGCAGTCGAAGACTTCTAGATCAAGGTGCAAAGCGCATTCCAAATGGGGTTACAGAACTTGAAAGTCTGTCATCCCCCATACATTCTAACCGACGAACATTGTAGTCATCGTACTCTAAATAGCACAATTTTCTTATAGTTTCCCATTCAATACCTCCGTTTTGGAGACCACTTGTTGCGTTCTCCAGTATTTCGTCTACGACGAAATTGAATAAGAATGAAGAAAAAGGGTGCCCTTGATGAACATCGCTCCTGGTTTCGAACGGTTTGCTTAGGCCACCGTAGACCCGGACACTAGTCCAAGTATGCAGGTACTGTGATCGCAAT